CTACGAAACCAGCTGATCGCACTATTAAGGGAGTTCAGGGATGTCTTATCCTTCACCCCTGAAGAGTTGACAGGGATTGACCCCGCTGTTATGGAACATAAAATCAATGTCGATCCCCTCAGAAAACCAGTAAAACAGCAACTTAGACGTCATGGGGAAGAGATCGACAAAGCGATTGAAGTCGAGGTGGATAAATTGCTGCGGGCAGGGCATGTCAAAGAAATCCAATTCCCCGAATGGATATCCAACACTGTGATGGTAAGAAAGGCACTAAACAAATGGCGCATGTGCATTGATTTCAGGGACTTAAACTTGGCCTGCCCAAAGGATCATTACCCTTTACCGCGAATTGATCAGCTTGTCGACTCTACGGCCGGTTGTGAGTTATTGAGCATGATGGATGCATCGCAGGGATACCATCAGATCCCGTTATGCCCGGAGGACCAAAGTAAGGTGAGCTTCGTGACGAGTAAGGGAACGTATTGCTATGTTGTCATGCCTTTTGGGCTTAAGAATGCAGGAGCCACCTACCAACGGCTGATGGACCGAATGTTCAAATCTCAGATCGGGCGAAATATCGAGGTATATGTGGACGACATCTTGGTGAAAAGTAAAGTCTCAGCCTCACACCCGGACGACTTAAGGGAAACATTTCAAACTCTTAGGACATTCGGGATGAAGCTGAACCCCAACAAGTGTGCCTTTGGAGTGAAGGCAGGGCGATTTCTGGGATATGTCGTCACAGAGCATGGAATCGAGGTAAATCGGGAAAAAGTGAAGGCCATACTTGACATGGCCCCACCAAGAAGCATAAGAGATGTGCAAGTTTTGACGGGACGGATCGCAGGACTGAGCAGGTTCATTGCTCGGGCCGCAGAAAAAAGCTTCCCATTCTTCAAATTGTTGAAAAAGAAGTCGACCTTTTTATGGAGTGACGAGGCACAAACGGCTTTCGAAAAATTGAAAGAGTTTTTGGGCGAGCTGCCCTTGTTGACAAAACCAGAACCCGGCGACGAGTTGGTGCTGTATATATCTGTGGGTGCCATATCACTAAGTTCGGTGTTGTTACGAGAAGAGGGAGGTGTCCAAAAGCCAATTTACTACACCAGTCGAGTTCTGCAGGGTGCTGAGACGAGATATTCTGAAATCGCGAAAGCCGCCCTAACATTGGTAATAACGGCTAGAAAGCTGAGACCATATTTCCTGAACCATGTGGTGTTGGTCAGGACGAATTTTCAGCTAGGAGAGACACTGGGCCGGCCCACGGTATCGGGTCGACTCGCCAAATGGGCAGTCGAGTTGAGCGAATATTCGATCAAATACGAACCAAGACGAGCCATAAAGGCCCAGGCCCTAGCAGATTTCATCCAAGAAGGTACCAAAGGGGAAGAAAAGAAATGGGTTGCTCATGTCGATGGGTCATCAGCGGCCAAAGGATCGGGTCTTGGAATCGTTCTTGTCTCACCCGAAGGCGAGCAACTTGACTTTGCTATTAGAATGGGATTCAAAGCCTCGAACAACGAAGCCGAGTACGAAGCGCTAATCAAGGGAATTCAACTCGCAATTGGTGGAGGAGCGTCGGAAATCATAGCACATTCCGACTCCCAGTTAGTCGTTGGGCAAGTGTTGGGAAACTGCGAAATCAAGGAAGAGCGAATGATGAAATATGCCGAAGAAATCCAAAGTCTTGTGCAGGGCTTGGAAAAGTTCGAACTAACGCAGATACCTAGGGAAGAAAACAAACGAGCGGATTGGCTTGCGAGAATAGCAAGCTCGAACGAGGGAAAGATGGGAAGCTCCATTATCACAATGCACTTAGAAGGGAGCGTGTTGGGCGAAACAATGGAAGTCGAGGAAAAGGATGATTGGAGGAAGCCGATTCGCGAACTCCTACAGGGCCAGGTGCCTTCAGGAGATAAGCAGAAAGGGTGGCTCGATATCTGAGCAAGTATTTTGAAGTCGAGGGGGTCATATTCAAAAAATCACTGGTCGGAACTCACCTGCGATGCGTCTCCGAAGATGAAGGAAATATCGTTTTAAAAGAAATACATGAAGGATGTTGCGGAGCACACATAGGATCGCGCGCCCTGGCAGGCAAAGCCCTGCGAGCGGGGTATTATTGGCCCAAGATGCGAGTGGCGGCCGAGCAACTAGTTCAGAAGTGCGAAAAATGCCAACGACATGGGCAAATCACTCACATCCCCGCCGAGTGCATGACGACCATAAGCACCCCGATCCCCTTCGCGCAATGGGGAATCGATTTGGTAGGACCACTCCCAATGGGGACGGGGCAGAGGAAGTTTCTTGTAGTCGCTGTAGACTATTTTACCAAATGGGTCG